AATCAGGGACGTGTTATAATCAGGTAATCAGGGACGTGTTATAATCAGGGTCGTGTTATAATCAGGGACATGTTATAATCAGGGACATGTTATAATCAGGGACGTGTTATAATCAGGGACGTGTTATAATCAGGTAATCAGGGACGTGTTATAATCAGGGACGTGTTATAATCAGGGACGTGTTATAATCAGGGACATGTTATAATCAGGTAATCAGGGACATGTTATAATCAGGGACGTGTTATAATCAGGGACTTGTTATAATCAGGGACGTGTTATAATCAGGGACGTGTTATAATCAGGGCCGTGTTATAATCAGGGTCGTGTTATAATCAGGGACATGTTATAATCAGGGACATGTTATAATCAGGGACGTGTTATAATCAGGGACGTGTTATAATCAGGTAATCAGGGACGTGTTATAATCAGGGACTTGTTATAATCAGGTAATCAGGGACATGTTATAATCAGGGACGTGTTATAATCAGGTAATCAGGGACGTGTTATAATCAGGGACATGTTATAATCAGGGACGTGTTATAATCAGGGACGTGTTATAATCAGGGACGTGTTATAATCAGGGACGTGTTATAATCAGGTAATCAGGGTCGTGTTATAATCAGGGACATGTTATAATCAGGGACATGTTATAATCAGGGACGTGTTATAATCAGGGACGTGTTATAATCAGGGTCGTGTTATAATCAGGGACATGTTATAATCAGGGACGTGTTATAATCAGGGTCGTGTTATAATCAGGGACATGTTATAATCAGGGACGTGTTATAATCAGGGTCGTGTTATAATCAGGGACGTGTTATAATCAGGCACGTGTTATAATCAGAGTCGTGTTATAATCCGGTCAGTACGGTACTCTGACCTTTGACCTCAGCGTTAGGAGGGAAGGTGCATTGTGAGACACGCTGCAGGGTACACTTCCTGTGGTTCTGTTCCAACTGACAGCAGCTGTATCAACCTTTTCTCCTTCTATGTTTGCTCTTTGTTTGCAGGGTGGGTTCCAGCCGCCCAGCCCCCCAGTGCCCCCCCAGTCTTTAGCTCTGAGACAGATCCTGTACTCGCACTGGGCCACCTGGTCCTCCTGGAGGAGCTACCAGCCTCTGGACCACATCAGGGAATACTTCGGAGAGAAGATAGCGCTTTACTTCGCCTGGCTTGGTAATTACCACATGAGTAACTAACCCACCTCTGAGAGACCCCACAGAGTGTCCACAGCAGGTACGAGCTTCTCATCTGCACACCAACAACCCCAAAGCTTTCCACACATCGTCGTCTAATACAGCATACTGTGTATACGCGCGGCACGAAAGAGAGCTAAATGCTTTTCACACGCGGTGCCTGCTCAACATCCTCGGCATCACATGGCGGGAGAACGTCACGAACGAGGCGTGCTGGCGCGTACGGGCAGCAAGTCAAAAAACAGCGACATGGTCAAAAAACTGTTGCTCTTCCCAACAGGTTGAGGTCACCTAAAGACCCTGTGCCCCATGCGCCATCTAGTGCTACAATACAAACATACAGATGGGCACTGCTCGGGAATCACTCTCCTAGATATCCACCTTTTGCCCTTTGACGGTTAAGACCAACCCTGACCTCTGCTATCTCCCTTGAGGAAGGGGCTGCTTCAGCCATATGTTGTTGTTCCCAGTTTGTGAGCGGGGAGCTCTCGGTCACAGATGGTCTATTGTTGTGGGGACACTGGAACACTTCCTTCTTGGGGTTTGTGGACTCCAAGCTGTGAAATCTTCGAGGCCATAAGCGTCAAACGCAAGTAATTCAGTGTTCCCAGCTGTTTAGTCTATCTCCCCAAATACGTTGATGACTCTCTCTGAACGAGTGAAAAGGTCTATCGAGAGAGAGCCGCTTGAGAATTGACGAGTCCACTCCACGTGAAGTCAGAACCTCTGACTCTTTGACTCGTCTTGTGAACCTCCGGCCGAAGCCTCCTAAATAACCCATCAGTGTTTTGGCATCAAAGCTCCAGCTCTCCCCGTGTCTCCTTTGAGTCGGTGACTCCTCCCCGACCGGCACAAACAATGGCCCATTCTATTAGGTTTTATGTTATTATAGTTTTCTTAAATGCTTTTGTTTTACTTTTCCTTGTAATTGGTCGACCACCTGGTGTGATAAGCTGTTTCTGAAATGAAACTGCAGCAACTATGTCTTGTGTGTTGAGCGATTTAGGAAATCAAGACAATTTCCAACGTCACTCCGACAATCTCAATAATAATAATCCATGACACTTACAGCGCTTCCCTAGAAACTCAACACACTTTTCACGTGCGGCATGCCAAGATTTGCCACCACTCCCGGAAGTTGCCACCGGACTATGGAAGCCTTGCACTAATGGCACATTCCCACATAGGAATATTGAAGTGTCTAATTATCCTTTGGCTAGTCATTAACGTAATTTGAGTGTGATGCGCTCGTACGGTATATATGGCCTGTCTATGACGAAGGGCAAAATGGTACACTCAGCATAGTGTCTGTTCAACACGATTAGAAATGTAGATGAACCCTTTCACAAGGTTCCTTACTAGTAGCTAGCTTGTGAGTCCAATGTAGATGTTGCCATCCCGCTCTCCCAGAATGATCCTCTGTCATCAGCCTGGAGATGCTCACACTCAAGGCCTGAAGGTCAGTAACACAAAGTTTAGTTGTTCTAGATCCCCTCAAGTAAANCACACACATATTAAAATGTATTATTTGCTGTTTCCATATATATGCAGTTGCACTGGTGCAGGACTACCAGGTGTGTGTGTGTGTGTGTGTGTGTGTGTGTGTGTGTGTGTGTGTGTGTGTGTGTGTGTAGGCAGGAGTTGTGTAACAGCAGAGACAGCTTCACGATGTGCCCTCTCTGTAACATCTGCTCACCTGGAACTACTCTGAATCTGCACCACCTTCAAGGTCTGTCTGCCGCTCTATCCCCTGCTTTTATTCACGGATTATCAGATGAAGAATAGAAAAAAGTTAGAACAAAACAATTATTATATATTATCGTGTTATAAGACAAAGAAAACGCAGCCAAAGCAAAATCCAAATAAGAAATAACAAAAAACAAGGACTGCTTAACCTCTCTCTCTCTCTCTATCTCCCTCTCCCTCCTCCTCCCTCTTTCTCTCTCTCTCTCTCTCTTTCTCTCTCTCTATATCTCTGTCCTCTCTCTCTGTCCTCTCTCCCTCCCTCTCTCTCTCTCTCTCTCTCTCACTCTCTCTCTCTCTCACTCTCTCTCTCTCTCTGTGTCCTCTCTCTCTGTCCTCTCTCTCTCTGTCCTCTCTCTCTCTCTCTCTCTGTTCTCTCTCTCCCTCTCCCTCCTCCCTCTCTCTCTCTCTCTGTCCTCTCTCTCTCTCTCTCCCTCCTCTCTCTCTCTCTCTACAGGTGGGTCTCTTGTTTGATAATGGAGGAACAGTGTTCTTCAGTGCCTTCATGTCTCTGTGGGCCGTCACCTTCCTGGAGTTCTGGAAGAGAACCTGTTCAAGCCTGTCTCACCGCTGGGACTGCTCCGAATTCCAGGACATCGAGGTACCTGTCTCACACCATACCTGTCTCGCAAAATACTAGCCCTTTACAGGTCAAAAAAAGAATGATAACACTCATCACACATTGTGTTCAAATGTTCCTCACTTGGCAAAACAGGCTCTGGATATATCTGAGACCTGATATATTGATGAGAAAGAGTGTAATAGTAGACCTTTAAAGGTGGGGTAGGTAAGTTTCAGAAACCGGCTCGAGTGCACTAAAATGTGAAAGTACACAGCCAAAAAGAATCCGCCCCTTCCTTCAGACTTCCTTACAGAGCACCTCCTCCGCGAGAGCAGGCTGCAGTAACGTTACATATCAGGCAAAGCTAAACACATCTAGGTTAGCAATACTACACTGCCAAAGCATCTCTGGTTTGACTCTGGTTTGACTCTGGTTTGACTTCTCCTAGTTCCCACTTTCTTTTTGTTCTTAATTTGCTCCGTTACATTTTTTCTTTTGCGACCAGTAGACGATGTTGAACCTAACTCTGCCATGGTGAAAGTGGCCGCCTGTTGCTGGCGAGTCATTGAAGTACTGCTGCAATGCACGCCCAATGAGGGCACGAGATACATTTGTGCGTGCACGAGATGGAAGGGCCGGCTAAACGGATTGGTTGTAGTTTTTACAGTATTACGGCTTCTTCCATAGATGACATTTTTTTATGGATTTTTTGTCAAAGCAGATATTCATTGCTATCGGGATGTTAAGAGCATTCCATGGAATATAACAGAAAGTGTATCTCGAGCCGGTTTCTGAAACTGACCTACCCCACCTTTAAGACTACACTGTGCATGTACTCATACACAGCCAGTGCTTGAAGTGGGCTGCTTCCGGCACTTTGCTCTTTGGTGTACCGTGACTTTTAGTATCGTACCGGCTCTTCTCTCCGGCTGCTGGCTCTCTAATCAATGCTCTTTTCAATTGATCCTTTTGCCATTAAATCTGGGAAAAAACTGCATTTCCCAGGGAGCATTGCGTTCTCAGCAGATCCTCATGTGCTAACATCTAACATAAGCGTTCCGAAAGAACATAAACTACATCCTCTACTAGTCGGCGGCTAGTCTAGGGAATTTAAACTCATTATAATGTAGTGATGGGAGTTACGGCCCTTTGAAGGGAGCCGGATCCCATGGCTCCGTTCCTTTCCGAGAGCCGTTCAAAAGAGCAGTTTTTGTCACGATCTGTCTGTGTTGTGTTTTGTCTTTTTCTGTCTTTGGTTTCCTGTTTTATTTTGAAAAGTATTCACCTCCTGTCTTGCCTGTTGCTTCCTGTCTGTTTCCCCTCCCTGATTACCCGATTGTGTTCACCTGATGCCCCTGTGTTTTCTCCTCTCTTGTTGTTTGATTAGTCCTGTGTGCATTTAGGTTCTTTGTTTTCTGTTAGTCTTTGTGAGTTCCTTGTGTATCTTGACTCTGTTCACGGGGAAGAGTTCTGTTTTGTTTCCATTTTGACCTTGGATTAAAGGTGTTTTTTCTGTGTCCTGCCTGCTTCGCTCATCCCTGACAGTTTTTTTTAAGGGGGCGGGGCTAACTTATTTATCTGCGAAATAATCACCAGGATAATGATTGACAGTATCGCCAGAAATCTACTTTTACTCACAGAAGATGTATAACTTGCTTCATCTCTCAGCCAAACTATACTCAAGCAGCGCTACGCCATCATCTAGGGAACATTTGCATTCAGGAAAGCAAGTTGCCGTAAAGGCGAGTGGATTCATGGCAGGCAGCGAACCAACGGTAAAAAGAACGGCTCTCACCAAGAACGACTCGTTTCCCTTCGTTCAAGCCGTTCAAAAGAATCGGATCGTTCGGGAACGTCACATCACTATTATAATGTTAACCTGGCTCCAAAAACATGAAGATGACACAGTTAGAAACGGACGATGACACGCCAGATATTAAAAGTCAAACCCTACGTTGATTAGTTCAGGCCAGGAGCAAGCTAACATTAGCGACCCATCAACAGCCTGGTGATGAAATGACCGACTGTTGGTCAAGAGATACAATTATGTTTTTCATCCCCCCACCGAGGTCCATGTGAGCCCTGATGAGTTTTAGCACCACAATCTAAAGCGAATGCAATCAAATCATTGACATGGTTCCCTTTTAAAAAAGCTTGTGTTGTGAAGCACAACAATATCCCCTAGCATCTTAAATGTATTTGTATACAATGTAAATGAGGGAGTACTGGCCCTTTTGTCCCCTCACATCAAGCACTGTACATAACTTGTGTGATATTTGACAACCTCACGGCAGATGAAGCGAGATTATTTTTTTTTTTAAACAATATCTTTATTGAGTTTTTCATTTTCTACAAGCTCAAACAATGACATCCACAAATACAGATATCAACAATGAGTGAATAAGACATGTGCAACTAAATTAGGTTTAATGTTTTTAAATATATGGGACTGGTAAATTGAGTTGGGAGACCAAACACATGATCTGTAAAGCAGCCGAGTATGGATCGTATTTAGGGTTTTTTTGTTGGACGGCGACCTCTAGTGGCAGAGTATATAGTAGCAACAAAGTGAGCATAAGGAGGAGGGCGATGGGTGGATTGAATAGACATGTCAGACTTTGAATGGCTTCTGAAATGTAGTGGAGTGGCATTGAATTAAAAAAAACTCAAGTAATGTACAAGTAACTCGAACTTGTACTTCAGTAGTTGACGTATTCAATCACAACCACCAGACAGCGCTACCAAACCTCGACAGTTACGTTTAGGTATGAGGACGTGTTGATCGCTGATTTATGAGATGCTCCTCTGGGTCGTCATATTGGGTATAGGAACAACTGTGTTAAAGAATAAATGTGTTATACTATACCAGGGGTGTCCAAACTACGGCTCAGGGGCCAAATGCGGCCCGCGGACCATTTTGAATCGGCCCTCAGCAAATTCAAAAAGTTATAAGGGAATATGGCCCGCAAATGAAACTTCTGCTTGTCTTATATTGTACTTCTTAAATATATATGTTCAAATATATAACACAGTATTCATTTGTTAATAAGCCCAATTTTCAAATAGGTTCAGTCAATTCAAGTTGAAAACATTTTCTAACAAATCTAAGTTGATAAGAAAAAAGCCAAATAATAAATGTACATAACCTTGAAATAAACCCTTCATATTTCCTCTTATTATAATCAATCTGAAGCTTCTGTTTGAAGGAATGAGCTGCTGACACAATACATGAAACCATGTGGAGAGCTGTGACAGAGGCTGTTTGTTTCTTAAAGCATTTTGAAGTATCAAGAATAATTTACCAACATTTGATTGATTTTTTTGGAGGCGATACACCTCTAGTGAGTGGCCCAGCCCTTGGTATATTTTTCTGTATGTGGCCCTTGTTGGAAAACGTTTGGTCACCCCTGTACTATATATCTCTGTCCTCCACAGGAGCGACCTCGCCCGGAGTTCACGGCCATGGCACCGATGACGATCAGGAACCCGGTGACCGGAGCGGAGGAACCCTACTTTCCTGAAAATAAACGAATCAACCGAACGCTGACTGGCTTCATGGCCATCATCATCATGGTGAGTCTCCTCTGTCCTCCGACACTGGGATGTAATGAAACACAGGGACACTTGATGAATTACCTTTTTAATGCAGGACTTCTACTTGTAACAGTGTATTTTTACTTAGTACTAAGGTAATTATCTGAATAGGTGCTTTCACACCGGAGTACTTTTCCCCCCGAACTAGGCCGATAGGTGGGGGAGATTTGGTTTCGCACCAAAAAGGATCTGGAACTAGTCCTTAGTTTGCACGAACCTTTTCACCTACAGATAGTACCTGCTAGAGAGGTGGTACTTTCATGAGGAGGAAATGGTTCGTGGGTGTGTAGGCCACACTAACAATTTCTGATTGGCTGTGCGAATTGCAAACCACGCCCCGTTAAACTCTGAAGGTTTTGTGAACCCAAAGCAGAAGAAGAAGAGGCGACGTCAGCGGCTTCATTCGCCTAATCCTCCCTCAGGGACTTATTCCGGTGAGAACGCGATCTACTAGGACAGTTTGAGGGACTAAAGAGTTCGGGGGGAACAAGTACCGGGGACTAGTACCGGCTAAGTACATGGTGTGAAAGCGACTAATGTCTTCCTCCTGTCCTCTGACATTGGGTTTCCATTCCATCCACTGGAGCTGACAACAATAATCAATGGTTGGAGTTTTCCAGATGTTAATTATTTCTTTCTTTCTAAAAGTGAAAATGATTAGTAGATATTCAACCACCTGTGTGCAGGTTGCTGTTGTGCTGATGTTTCTGATGGCCATCATCCTGTATCGCACCATCCTGACCATCGTTATCGACAAGTCGGACACCCCTTTAACCGGCTTTGTGAGTTTAATAAAACAGGAAACGCTTTTCTTTAAATCTCTAAAATTGTTCTGAGACAATGTCTATTTTATTATTATAAGTTATAATAAAAGATGAGTTATAGGAAATATTTTTTTGAAGTTTTGTTGCCATATTTTATGGTTTTAAACATATATTTGTAAAATAATGCTTGACAACATTATAAGAAATGGTTTATTCGAAAACATGTTTTTCAAAAGGAAATTATTATTTAATGACCAATAAAATATAACGTCAAGATGTATTATATATATAGTTTATTTAGGGTACAAGAGAAACAACAGAGGCTCCAGGACGCTTCCCTGAGGAACCCCACAACTTAATGACTTCACATTTCTTTCTTTTCTCAGGCCTCTAGGATAGCCAGTATCACAGGATCCGTGTTGAACCTGTTGGTGATCCTCATGTTGTCCAAAGTTTACACCTCGCTGGCTCGCATCCTCACGCGCTGGGGTGAGTCACACCTGCCTCCTCACCCTCCTCACCCTCTGTTTTAGATTTTGCCATGTATGAAAAGTTATTTCAGACACATTTCAGATTAGTTCTGGTGAAGAAGATTTAGTTTAAATGTTTTTATCAGTTTTTAGTTTTCACATATTGTCAGTTGTACTTTTTTTTTTAAAATCTTCACTGTTTTGTGTCTGAAATAACTTTGTTTTAAAACTTTTGGCAATTTTATAGATAATAATAATTAATTAATTTTTGATTATTATAATCAGTTGTTCTGTGTTTGAGGTGACTTTTTGGGGCTTTTAACCATTATGTTTATTATTTCTGCCTTTTTTAAATCATGTATCTAGCTAGTTACCTCAACATTAGCCAACAAAGGAACCTGGATTAAACCAAACATTTGAACATTATTGTAAAAGTAACAGGAATGTAATTGTCAATATCATAGTAGGGATGTCAAATTGGACACAAATATTTGTGCGATGTTTGATGATAGTTGAGAACCACCTAAAGGCAACGTTGCCAGATTAAAAGCGTATGTGTAGGATTACATTATGGATGTATTCTGGTGTGTACAGTGTGTATATTGTGTGTAGTATTCCTTTATGTAGACAATGTTGTGTTCTTCCCGTCAGAGATGCACCGGACTCAGTCTAAATATGAAGACATGTTCATTCTCAAAGTGTTCATCTTCCAGTTCATCAACTTCTACTCGTCCCCGGTTTACATCGCCTTCTTCAAAGGCAGGTGAGGAATCATTCAACCAATCACAACACGGATCACTTATTCCTCTTTTTTTCTTTCATTTGGATATTTACCTCAATGTCTTTGGCTCGGTTTGTCGAAAATAATGGTGGTTTCAGAAACGACGCAGATATAAAAACACAAGTGTCCCAAAAGAAACCGAAGAATCCTCTTCAGCATCTTGACAACACATGCAGCATTTAGAAAACATTGAGCAACTTGAGGAAACATGCGCAGCGTTTACTAAAAGCTGCAGAAACCAAACGCTGCAAATACAAAACATTTGGGCCGTTGTAGAGCGTTTGCATCTGTATCAATTTAGGAATAAACAGGGCTCTTTAACCACAGAATATGTAAGCATGGCTTTTGATTAAAACAATCGCTGCTTTGTGCATTGTTGCCTACATGTGATGATCCAAGATGGCGGCGGGTACCGAAACTACATCCACAATGTTACCATGGTGGTGCAGTTTATCCTTCTTTGAGAACGCTGCCATAACGACACAAACACATACACTTTTTGTACTGTAAAACATTTGTGGAACAGAAAAAATGTGTAACCAGCTGTTAATTTGTTTGTGTTTGTTCAGGTTTGTTGGTTATCCTGGAGATTACAACACTCTGCTAGGAATTCGCAACGAAGATGTGAGTCTGCAGTATATTAATACTGTACATACATTATGTTTTAGCTAAAGGCGGCTAATGTTGGGCTATAAAGGAACTACAGCACGGTCACATGACTTCACGTCACCACCGCTAAGCTAAAGGCTGCTAATGTTGGGCGTTTAGTCGTCTCATTTGTGATTTTGTGTGTGTGTCTGTGTGACAGTGTGGAGCCGGGGGATGCCTCGTTGAATTGGCTCAGGAGCTGCTGATCATCATGGTGGGAAAACAGCTGATCAACAACATCCAGGAGTTCCTCTTACCGTAAAAACAACACACAACACAAATCAAACACGTTCATAAACAAAAAACAACTTAATTGTTGTCACCCTTTGATGTTGCTTTACATTTTATATTCAAACTTTATGTTGAAGCTGTTTGAGTTAAAGAGGCTCTCTTCTCCTTTCTTGTTCCCTCTCCTGTAGTGTGTTCTATAGCTTTCTGTGCATGTAAACGGTCTGCAAAGGCTAACATCCCTGTGTTCCCTCCTGAGGGAGTTTCTCTCCCACACACTAGAGATAGAGATTTTATATAATAATATTTTTTCATATTTTTAACACATTTTCACGGAGCCCTGGAGGGTTCATAGAGAGAAAAATAAATAAAACGAGGCCACGCTTTATTAATTTGTGCGCACGATATATTTTCTCCTTCGCACGAGATCGCCAGGGTGTGTGTGTGTGTGTATGTTTGTGTGTCTGTGTCTGTGTGTGTGTATGTGTGGGCATTTGTTTTCAGAAGATATTATGATAGTGGCGTTCGCTCCGGTGCACTCCGACAGCATTTAGCACTAGCCTACATCGAGGCTACATCTAAACGAACTTCTTTCACTTGGGAATACACATATGAGTTAGCCAGATGTGTGTAAATTACTGTTCATGGTAATTTGAAAACAAATGCCGGTGTCGGACACACACACACACACACACACACACACACACACACACACACACACACACACACACACACACACACACACACATCATGTAGCATTTCACGTTTCCATAGCAAAAACAACTTCCTGTCAACAGCGTAGACTCGCCTTCAAAATAAAAGCATCTAAATGAAACAGGAAGTTAACCTAAATTACATTTAAGACATACACAACTGCAACAAAAGTAACAAAAACAATGTCATATCCTTTTCAGTTTCACAGAACACAAATTCGATTATTTACACATCATGCGCCCTGGTGACCGCACATCTCCTTCATAAAACGAGTAATAGGGGGAATAATGTGTGTGTGTGTGTGTGTGTGTGTGTGTGTGTGTGTGTGTGTGTGTGTGTGTGTGTGTGTGTGTGTGTGTGTGTGTGTGTGTGTGTGTGTGTGTGTGTGTGTGTGTGCGTGCGTGCGTGTGTGTGTGTGCAGTTTTTGTAACCCTTTTCTTCATCCCTGGTTCAGATTCTATTCGGATCCCCTATGGTACCAAGCTTTCCCTGTACATGTCTAAGGATGCTGAACCTAGCAGCCTCGACCTCTATTCGGCTGTTCTAATGAATGTAAACACATTGAAGGCGGCGCGTAAAAGACACAATTAGAATACAACGTAGATTAAAAATAGTATATTATTGAACTGAATGTAAACATAAATAATGTACAGTAAAATAGATTATGTATGCTGTAAAAATATTTAACCGAAGTTGTGACATATCATCAGATATTACCTGTATTTTAATGGTGATGTATGCGTTGTGTTTCAGAGTCGCAGTCCGTGCCCCCGGTGCAGGTGTTTGATAAAACCATGGTGGTGAAGCAGGTGCACGTCCTCGAGCCTCAGGACCTGCTGATCACCAGGGCCGATAAAGGTAGGACTACTACGTTGAAAAACTCTCCAGGGTACAGCACAATTGTATAACACCTCACAGTCAAACAATTTAAGGATGCATTGCTCATGATTAACAATGTGCAAATAACAACTACCATAGTGCAATGTCCATACAACTGCCAGCCTGATGTGCTTAACANAAAGTATGTTATGCTGGCCCGGGGTGTCTAAATAGTAGGGATGTGCATCTCCATCACTGAGGCCGATGCGATGCGCATCTCGATACGTTGCCACGATACGATACATTAACGATACATTTGAAACACCAGGCGATGCGATTCACCCCTGTTGCGCTACAGTTCGATACGATTTGATTCAACATTATGCGATTCGGGGCGATACGATGCGATTCAACACGATGCAAAAATAATGATACTTCAATATGGTACGACAGAGGATTTTTGTTTTATTCCTTATATGCAGCAAATCATACATTAACAAAAAAGTGCTTTACATATTTGGTACTGCACATCCCATCATTCCGTTTATTTTTTTACCTTTAAAAGCTCTCCAGAGTACAGTACAATTGTATAACACCTCACAGTTAAACAATGTAAGGATGCATTGTTCATGATTAACAATGTGCAAATAACAGCTACCATAGTGCAATGCCCATACAGCTGCCAGCCTGATGTGCTTAACACTCATTCATAGGCTAACTCACCAGTGAGCAGAAAGCAGTGGGTTCTATATGAACAATAAAGAATACAAATAACCTTTCACAAACAGGTATTTCATAACTGATTACAGTAAGGAAGACATTTAAATTATTATTGGCCGTCACAGGCTGCTGTAAACTAAACACCACTCTCTCTGACAGAACACCTCACTGAGTGATTTAACTCATATGTCTAACTTTCAGGTTTCTCTTTTCAGCCGCAGACCCCATGTCACCTCTTTATGTGCGTCGCTAAGTTCCTCGAACTACTTGTGTACTTTAAAGCGGCTCGGCATCGTTAACAATTTGCGAGTGATTTTTCAAGTTGACCGTCTGTAGTATATAGTGCCGCGCACATATACCATCAGGACGTTACTGATGGGGTGCGGCTGCGGAGTGATACTGTGTGTATGCAAGTCCGCATCTAGGACGGATCTATGTATCATGGCTGTAGACCTGTTAAGTAATAAAGATACCTCATACAAAGGTCTACGGATACCTTATTACTCTCCATGACCTGCGGTCAACTATATAGCATAAANTGTGTCTACAAACCGATCTCTCGCCGGTGAAACTAGCCCCGGAACCTGGAGGAGATAAAGACCGCGAGACAGACTGTGCTCTCGGTGCACCGAGCAGCTGAGCCCCGGTGCCTCGACACCACCTGCCCGGGACAGGAGCTGACCTGAGGGGGAAGCCGAGCTCTGCAGCCACCGCTACCAGGAGACCCCCAGTGTGCACAATTATATCATTACTGGGGTTTCATTCGTCATGAAATCTAAATCACGTTATTTTAGAGTAACTGCAGGGGTGTAAAGTAACTAAGTACATTTACTCAAGTACTGAACTTAAGTACAATGTTGAGGCATTTGTACTTTACTTCAATTTATTTGCTACTTTGTACTTCTACCCCACTACAATACAGAGGTTAATTGTGTAAATATACTCCACTGCATTTATTTAATACCTTCAATTACTTTGCAGATTTGGATTAATGACACTTAAATAAGACTTTAGTTACACCCGGAGTAAATTCACAAGTTTACTTTGTATTAGTATACAAAGTAATTCAAACTAGCTGCACCTTTACCAGCTTTGATAACACTTCAATATTTATAATCAAAACACATATATTATTCTGACATTGGATAATGAGTACTTGAAAAAGTATATTTTGATGCTAATACTTTTTCTACGTTTTCTTAAGTAAGATTTTGAATGCAGGACTTTTACTTGTAACAGACTATTCCTAAACTCTGGTACTTGTACTTTTACTTAAGTACAAGATCTGAGTACTACTCCCATCTCTGAGTTACTGTTTGTTTGGATGCCTCATCAATCACATTTGATATGCTGAATATTCTTTATTTAATTTGAAGGACAGAGAAAAATTGGATTCAGATATTTGGCGACTTCAATTTCCAATAATCTAGGCTGTTTCACACTGTATATTATATGCATCACATGTCATTTATTCTAATGTATAAATGTTGATAGATTTTAAATAACATGCTGTACTAATACTGTAGTGTGTTTGCTTCCTATGTTTTTGTACATACATCTGGTCAGTAAACCTAGAGAACTTCAACTTCAACCATTCATAACATTTAAGTGGGACTATAATGTGAGATGTTGATATTGCCTACATTTTTGCAGAAAATTAATTGTTTTAATTGTTTAATTTTTAATTAATTGTTTTAATTGTGTGACACGTAAAAATAAAAATTCTTTTTTGATTTTGTGATAAAGGATCTCTACAATTTAGATACCAACAGAGAAACATATTGATCGAAAACACACATAATGAAATTAGATCGAGGCAAACATTTAGAAATATTGTCTTCAAAACTTGCTCGCAATAATAAAAATATCATCACTGACGATTTTTATTATTGTGATTCTTCCTACATAGTAGATTTGTATCCTGTAAACAGTATGTGCTTGATGCTGAGTTCATTTAAACTCAACATTAAATCTACTGTATGTACATACCTCTACCTAGTGCATTCAGTATATATATATATCCATATATGATGGAAAAATATAAGGTTGTGGTGTCAGCAGCAAACACATAATCAAACACATGAACAAGGTCAATTTAATCCTTATGGAAATAAAGTGCTTTTTATTTTAGAAACATTTTTAAATCGAGATAATGTCTTAACATTTTAAACATATTAAAAAAAGAAATTGCAGCTGAAACGGTGCATTACAAAGACCTGCAGTAAATGAACAAAAGCTAGCCTTTTTAAAGTCGACTGTTCAGCAGTTTGGAAACTTGCTTGTTACATAAGTCGTTTTTCAGCTGCAGCCCCTGAACGTGAGATGCAGCTTCACAGAGAGAGCGCTGATAAGTGGTTGGCTGTCAGTGGAAACAACTATAGTGGTTAATGCATGTTACTCAGCATCACCCTGGTACAACGGAAACCTCTTAATCTTGTTTTTTTTTTAAAAAGGTACAAAAAAGGAAATATAACTGTTCAAAAGTTTAGTCTAAGTGGCACCAAATACATTTTCACCACCTCTTTCCCCCACCAAGCGTTGTCAGAACAAAGCAGTCCCTTGGCACATGCTGAAGAAACGTATCCTGCACATGGCGGGCATCTCAAGCGTCCGTGCTGTCTCTTCTTTTGCTCAGAGGTCAAGAGTTGTTCGTGGCTACAAAAGGCTAGCCTTGAGGAATCGGAATAATCTCTGCAGCATTGGTTGAGTGACTGCTTTTTAACTGCATGACGGCTATTGAGGTTTTAAACTGAGGTGCTTGAAGCTGCTCAGTGAGTTAACAAAAATATTTCCATTCTCACCATGAAATCTGAGAACAAATTCAATAAAAACCAGGCCGGGAAAGTTAAACCCCCATCCTTTTTGCAGCAAAGATGTTACATTACCATGCAGCTGATTTGACGTTTCTTATAGAAACATGTGTCTGTTCACCCATCTGCAGAGTGTGAATTAACAGAATACAAGAAAATGCATTTACTTATAAGCCTCAATAAACCCAACCTCTATGTTTCTAATGATATGGCAGATATGCATGAGCTTTTTGATTTCGCACCAAAGACAGATTTACCAAGCGGCAACTTCCAATAGATGTACAAACTAACTCCAGAGTGAAGGGGAAATGTGTAAAACTGGAACCCTGAGATTTCCGTTCTTCAGTGAGCTCACGGTCCTCTTCAAAGTGACTCTGTAGGAAGGCTTCACAGCGAGGACACTCAAATCTGTCCCGTAGTAGACGCTTTTCTACTGATTTCATTCTAGCCATTTAAAAACCAGGGACTGAGGCAACATGTACCATCTACATGTACACAGAGCTCTGGATCTGAGTGCCAGCACAACATGAAGACAACTTAGGTAGTCACTTTGTTCACTGGACCTTAATTACACTGATTTGACCCCCCTCGGAGAACAATGTGATCTACACACGCACGTTGCTGCTGTTACTCTGATTTAGATAGAAAATAAATAATTAGAAGAAACAACCCAAAATGATCTGAAAGAGTCCATGAATTAACCTTGAGGATGGAGATGCAATATGCTGAGATAGAAATATATAAAAGATTATGTTCTTACCAAAAATACCTTTTGGAAAATATTAGATAGCGAGAGTCTGACATTGCCTGTGCAAGAACGATCAGCTACAGAAAGGAACCTGCACTTGCATAGATGACTACAGTGGTTAGGGAGGAATTCTGAGGTGTGGTAGTTGCTTCAGGATCTGGAAAAGTTGTGTTATTATTATTATTATTATTATTATTATTATTCCCTCTTTTTTCCTTTTACTTTTCAGTAAGTGATAGCTGCAAGATCATGGCCAGCTCCTCTTCCTCCTGCTTCCTGAGCCGCTCCTCTTCCTCCTGGGCCCGTGCAGAGAGCTCCATGGCCAGGCGGAGCTCTGAGTCAGCGCTGGAGGCCGAGGGCGAGCTGACGGGGCTCGGGGTGTCTCCAAACTCCACTAGCACCCCCTCTGGGATACTCCTAGAACAGCAGGAGAAAGCCAGATCCAGATATGTTATGTGGCTTTTACTGGGAAATAGAAGAGGTGGATATGTGTCGTCTAAATCCCTGTATGACAAACAACTACCAAGCACTGTTCCTTTTACCACATGTAATTAACTCATTGCAATGTTACCCTGTGTTCCTACCTGTCACTCTGGCTACTGGGCATGACGTCAGTAAATTCCGCATCAGCATCCTCCGAGTTTCCATCCTTCAAAGACACACACATCATGATCATTAAAAGGATGCAAGTAGAACATAGGAACATGGTAAGACAGATCTGTGTTTTCTAGGTTTTGGCCAGAGAGTCGAGTGAAGACTGTTCTGACCTCGCCAGGGACCATGCGAGACTCCAGGAGACTCTGATGGATGGCGTACTGCAACAGCTCCTCGTCGTTGTTGGACACGGGTGCGTGTCGAGTTCCTCCTCTGCGGTGGTAGGTGGCGGGAACGTCAAACACTGAAGGACACACCTGAAAGGGAGGCATTGCTGCACGGATACAAACAAAAAGAAAAGCAGTTTAGGAATCCTAGACGTGAGATTATTTAAAAAAACACGTTCACATTAAATAGTTCAACCTTCTAGATTCCTACCTGCAGCTTCTTCCTCTTCTCCTGAGGATGTTGGCGTGGCTGCTGGTGTAGCGATGGCCTCCTCTTCAGTACTGCATTTATTGACGTTACCAAATGTAATCCTGGCATTCAGCACATGAAACAAGGGAATCTCTGCAGCAGAGGAAGACGCAACAAATCACGTTAAAACAGACTTAAGAGAGGGAAAGAGACTACAAACAAGAGCTTTGGTTGAAAAGGAAAAATAAGTCTAATTTCTTTGACTGACCACCTTAACCTCGAAGAAACAGGTTGTGTAGATATCACACTGCATAAAGACTTGGCTGGGAATGTTGGGTTTTGAAAGCAATTTTTTATAAACACACAGAAAATGAGTACAGTAAAAAATTAAATGCTGTACAATCCAAGAAAGGATTTCTGTCAGAAACTGATGGCCAAATGGTGAGTTACTTTAAATGTTGCAGCCTTAGGTGTGAAATTGACTTAGATAATTCCTCAAGAACTTATCATGGTCTCCACTTAGACATTTAGACTTACAGAGCAAAAAGACAATTTGACCACTGACTTGCTCTATGTACTTCATCTGGATGTCACATACCTATTTTAACAGGAAATCCAGGAGGAAAATTCAGGGTGACGAAGTCTCGCAGACGTGCAAAATGGGAACTGGTCCGAGCCATTAGGTCGATAATGGGGGTCACCTGCTCCACCAGGGACAGGGGATGTTCCTCGCTCATCCATAATGTACCTTTGAACCTACGTGGGAGAAAAAAATAAAGCAAAATGAATGTGCTGAATGTTCAATGTGCACACAACTTGAGACTTGAGACAAATACTGTAATCAAGTATGATGTTTGTTGCCATGAGGCAGTGTTTCTTACTTCTGCGTTCGAATGCTCAGCTCAATGGGTCGGCCGATGTCTCTGTTCCCAAGGTCAAAGTCAGGGTCAAAGTATTCCTCTGGAGTGATGGCAGTGGGATTGGTGGCAGTTGCATACTCAAGCGTCAGGTCCTATAAAGTGGAGCATTCGTATTCTATCAGCGGACAGGTGGGAGAACACATCACCTTTATGTAATTACTGAACACACGGCTTACCCCTTGTGCACTTATGTGCTGCTCCACAGTCCCAAGCAGAGACTCCAATATGTTCCTTTCACCTTCAAACAGAAAACGATGACTTTAGTACTCTCCTTCACGCTCCGTAGATGCAGCTTTGTTATTCTTATGGACAAAAGTCTAACTTTAACATCTTAATATAGAAGCATATTTTCCACCTACTTTTGATCCTGGCCTTCTCCTCGTCTGTGAGATGCTCCGTCCTTGTCCGGATTACCACGTTTACATTGTTCACACTGAAAACCTGAGAAAACAACCAGAATATAAAGTAATACATCAAAAATGGGCTACACAGTTTAAAGCGGCATTAATCTTTAGTTATAATGAAAATAAAAAGTATAAAACTTCTGTGAACCTTTGAATCAAATCCATTGACCATTTCAGTTTTGTCAGCTCTCCAGCCCCACATTCCAGACTTGTTCCTGCAAAAGCAAAAGCATTACTACAGGTCAAACACACCATCCTTCAGTTAGGAGGAATAACTTCCACGACAAAGAGAATGCAAATAAAGATTTTGGAATTTGAAGTAGCCTGTTAATGGATTCAAATGTGGCATTTAAAAAGGTGTTTGCCCCAATCTGTGATAGTTCTCTTATCTTAGTCTTTAGCTGTATTGCATTGTTAAGTTTTGTTTTAAATTAGATATGTTCCTCCTAGCCTCAATAAACTACTATCAGCTTCAATAAGAAAGAAGTCCCATTGCTCTTAAAACCAATTTCCCTGCTTCTCATGGTTTCCTTGCGTCTCTCCATGCTTCCCTGGTAGGAGGGACTAAACGCGGGGAAACGACGCAAGTGAGGGAAGCAAGGATTTTATTTAACCGACCTGCCTGAGAAGGACCCTGTATATAAACAGAGGAGAGAAGAAGCCCCNGCGTCAGCCGCTCCGAGCATCGATTCCGGGTGACGTCACGCTTCGGCGAACTGCATTTTGGGAGGAAAGCGTACGGAAGCGTCAGCCAATCGAATCATATGCCAGTACAAGCTCTAGCCAGCGCCATATAGATAGAAGAGTTACGACAGCGGAAGTCCAAAAACGGTTAT